AACAGAACCTACCGGCTGGAAAAGTCCCCCAACCATGTCATGATTGTACAATCGACTACAACCTTACGAAACGGGGATGCTCGCGGACGTCCCGAGCCGCGAAACGGCATTTTGATGAAGTTGAACATTAAGCAGAAAGTGCTAGCCAACGCTATCTCAATGTAGTAGGCGGGGCAAAAGGGCCAACGTGCGAACAATGCGATGTTTTCGTTATGATAAGGGATTTAGCTACCAGACTTCTTAAGTATAGGGTTTCCTGGAGGACAACAACAGCTCAAAAACGACCCTGAAATATCTGGCATGATAAAACCAGATGATATAAGCCTAAACAAACAGCTTTCTCGCTCTAAATGCTCACGGCTACCAGAACATATCACTTTAGCTGGGTCACATAGGCCCCTATATCAATCAGCGATAAGTCTGTGTTCTGGCTATCCAATTCGAAGAGGCGAAAGTCCTGAGATCCCGATGAATCTGATCGCTTCTTTGTGAGGAAGTCACGTCCTTGGTGGGTCCTTCCTTTGGCGTGTTCTTGCCTATACTAGTTTTCTTTCAGAATCGCACCCTTTCTTTGTGTATACTTCGACTCACAGGCAGTCATGCGCATTTCCTTGACAATTCTGACATTCTTTTCCTCCCCAGCACTCCTTAGTCGAGGACCTGTCTTCCAGACGCAGTGTTGGTGTTGCAGATCCACCATACGGATTACGTCGCTGCTGGGACTCCATCTGGAGCAAAGCTCGAAGGGAACGATGTGAACGAAAAGTTGAAGGATAGAGAGCAATGGATCGGAAAAGGATTATGGCTGCTTTATAGATGGTCAACGAGGAAAGGGGACCGAACATGACTTGGCCCACCACACTTCTGGCCAGCCTCCCCAAAGGACCAGAGGCTTTGAAACAGCTGCCTGTCAACCTAGATCAACGAGGGGCAATGAGCAGCAGAAATGCTGAAGGCTGGGCGCGACCCTTGCTTGGGGGGTGGTACGCGCACTGCCAATCATTTGTCGCCCAGAGTTTGCCTGCAGAAATAGTATTTGTCTGTGTTGGTCCTGCTCCAGGACTTGTTCTTCGAAGAGTCCTGCGAGGCCAGCATTGGACCAGTAATCCCACCATCCTAGCATGCCCTTCTTGCACACCCCCTTGGAGGACTTAAAGAAGGGAAGCACCATCATGGTCAGCAAGGGAGATGCCGTAAAAGAAAGGAAGCCCGCCCACAAGAAGTGCCAACGATAAGTCATGACTGTCTAGATATTGGCTTTGCAGTGAGAGTTCTGTCTAGCCGAGAATCAATAATGTGTCCGTGCCCATTGGAGTGAAAATCTGAACATGCTTCAGCTGCGATAGACTGATCCATTTCCGAAAAGTCACGGCTAACTAAGGACTAGCTGAGAGATGGACTAGCTGAGTACTGACAACGAACCTCCAATCTACAGCCCCTAAATTTCGTGTGACTCAGGGCGGCCTCTCCAAATTCGACCATGGTCGACCTGGAGGTCAGCTCCGAAGACGTCGAGCGGCTGCAACTAGACCAAATGGCTGCCTGTTATCGGTGGCTTCCGACTGTTCGGTACACTTATTATGATCCCGATCTAATAGCGAATACCGCCGAGAAAGTTCTGTACCGAAAAAAAGTTTCTACTGTGAGGTTGCCTTCCACTATTCGGAGATCTTGCTCTATTAATTCATACCGGAAATAGATTGCTCGACAGCTTCAAATTACCCTAGCTTTTGCCTTCTTCAAAGTTCAGCACGGCTGCGAGGACCGCACCTTCTCGTCCATCGAGCCCGAATTTATCGAGAAGATATGGCAACAGACCACTGCGGAGTGCGCCTTAACTGATGATGAAGACGATTATCGTTATTCTCCGCAAAAATGGGCAAATCCGACATTCAAGGTTCCTCCACTGCCAGCGCGAGACGCCCCAAACCGTTGAAGCATACGACAGCGACCCTCACGGAACCCATGAATTCTGTGGTAAACTGTTTGAACTCGAAAATGGAGACGACAACAAAGGTCTCATGATTCTACCACTGGATCAGTATTGGTCCCAGTGAATACATGGACAATCAACGTTGCGAACCGTTCTTGACATGGCCACGAAGTCCGTGCTCGGATAATGCGTTCTTTTGGGTGGTCGCCAAAACAGTTGAGCAGGCCTTGGAGTTTTTTGGTGATGTGCGTTGTCTGCCATGGTTAGCTCTCCACCCCGTACCGGCCAAAATGTGGCAAGCCTCCAAAAGACCCCAGGCAGCAGAAATTAGGAAGCCACTGGAGAGAATGGGCGGTGTTGTGAAAATTTCATCCAGGTTCATTCCAAAAACAGTAGGCGCCCGGCAAAGGCCGCGCCAATGACTGGCTTTAGTTGCCTAACAACCAGTAACCCAAGGGGCTGCCAGGTGGCACGAAAAGTGTCATCCTATCCTATCATCTACTGTACAAGTCTCGAATACACAATCGTCCTAGACCAATTGTGTTAGTCCGCGTATAAAACACCCTGTTCGAACCTCCATCACAGATGATCGTTGGATGCAAGCTTCATAGCCACTCACCTCCCCTCGTACTGCAAGCAGCTACAACCTTGGAGAGACTGGGTGTCGAAAGGCAGATGGTAAGGACGCCTTCGGTATTCGTGCCTTGAGAGTGACTACTCGCAAGTTGTATCCGCCCATCATGTGATTCAGTTCAGCTCTTTGGGGCTTTGATATGGAGGTCTAGCTAGCTGAGTTACGATAGTACCTCGCTTTCCCGATGTGGAGACTGGGTCAAAAGTCGGCGCTTTGGGGTCGGAGCGGCCACAGGCTGCCAGGCTTTTCATCGAGCCAGTGCCAATGTCAGCCAGCCCCCCGCTCTCTGAGGCATGCTGAGTAGAGGCTGATTCCGTACAGGGTATGTGACTACAATTGTTGCCGAAAGGCGTGATTGCCAGACTTCGTGGATAAATAGGTGATTGCATAGTAACAGCACGGGGGAGGGGCTTACAAGTCTTGTCAGGCAATGACCTCGCCTGGCTGGCGGTAGTCGAACCTTCAAGTGTTGTTTTGGACAAATAATTCTGTAATACTACCTATCCATCGCTGTTTTCTGCATAATATATATTGCACCTGATTGTCAAACAAATTTTTCTTCCTATAGAATGGTACCTGGGCTGCCAGTGATCGAGCTACTATGGCGACGAGCTAGCCGAGCCTCCTGAGGTGTGCCGCGTTCATCTTGTAATGTTTGCCATCCGAGTCAACCCAACAGCGGGGAGCCCATTCGCATGACTGTTTCTGACAGCGCATGGGCTCTTGTCCCCTGGCGATCTCAGGTCTTGAATTATAGCTGCAAGCAATCCTGCGTGTTAGGGTCCAATTCTTGATACTTGTCTAGAGTCTCTTCTAAGTCTTTAAGGAGACGCAGGGTTGCCAGATCGCCAGGCACGACGAGACTCGGGAGTCGACTACTCTGGGAAGCGAACCAAGGAAAAGGGTGAGCGGGCCGATCAGGCTTGCATGGCAGCTGTGAAACAACGGGCTCCTGAGGTATAAAGGGACAGTCTCCCCATGGCTCCGACCTTCGCCCTCGTTCTTTTTGCCAATCCCTGCCATCGCACCAATGCCTTCAGATATGGCCGAAATGCAACCAACTCTCAACCTCGATTATTTTCTCAATGACGATGACTGTGACATTCAGGTCGAATACGGCTCGGTTGTGGACGCTGCTCTTAGTATGAGAAGGAAGCTCTCATCAGTATTGAGGCAGGCGTGGCAATTGAAGACGACATTGCAAGCCAAACAAGCTGAACTCGAACATGAACGACAGCGACCGAACCTTCGAGAAATTGCCGAAACCAATCGAAACAAGCTCAGACAACAGAGTCGCACTTTGCGACAGTGGAAAGATGACAACAAATCGCTACGCCTCCGGAATCGAGAACTGGCCGATGAGCTGGAAGTTGCGCGAAAGGAATTGGAAAGGGTCGATCATCTTCGGTGCAACATCTGCATGGTGACGTTCAAGAGTGCCACGCTTCCATGTGGTCACAGTGTCTGTAGAGAATGCTTGAGCTTATGGCTCGGCCAAAAAACAGGCTGCCCGTGGTGCAGGCAAAGTTTTGAAGCCGATGATATTCGAGATATCTACCTTGGATCTGGCAGTGAGACTCGGGATGTCCCTGAGAGTGATGCTGACGTTACGGATGTTATCTCACTGGCTAGCGACAGTGGGTAGAAACCAGTAGGATCGAGAGCCACAACATAGCTTGGAAGCCAGGAAGTCAGCAAAAGAAAGAACGGTGAAAGATAGCACTTCTGCTTGAACAGAAACGGGCTAGGCCAATGACGCGATAGATTTCCAGCCTCAATTCGAACTGTTTCAATGACCGAAACCGCAAGATACCCTCAGATTTTTGTGAAAGAGTATATATCGTATAGAAGCGTTTTTGCCACCAAGTTAGGTGCGTTGGCGAACACAATGTGGTCAGGACCAGGACTGTTGCCCTTAAATCAACGCGTCAGGAATACCCTGGCTGATGCGGCATGATTCGGTAAGAAGAGGTCCCAGTCACTCTCTCGCCCAATAAATGGGATTTGGACAGCTTTTATGTATTCCCAATACTCTGGGTATCCACCTCCAGTTTCCCAATCGACGATACCAGTGATTTTAAGATCGGAACTATTATCAACGATAATATTTCTTGCGTGTACATCACCGTGCGTCATAACGATTCGGTGATCTTCACGGAGGCATGACCTTACAAGGTCCATGAGCCGAGATTTAGTAAGAGCATCGCTTAAGAGGAATTCATTGAACTGCGCCTCGGCTTTGAGAGGATTGGAGCTTTTCCGAGTCCAGCATCGCGTATCTAGACAGAAAGGTGGATTACCTCCTCCAAGAAAGCCGTCTTTTGATGGTTATACTTCCATTGTTGATCTTTATATCATCAATAGTAAAGCCATAGGGGAGTTGATGAGCACATGAATCTAAAGGGTAAAGAAACAATGAAGAGAAGCGAGGAAACGAGTATCCATGGGACTAATGTAGATACATTTTACCCTTATATACTCATCAACTCGCTACTCCGTTCTCATCCGGCCGATTGCTTATCTTTGAGATATAGGAGTGGCTGCGAGAGCATAGGGTTGACCCATAAATAACGGCAAAAAAAGTCGACCGAGTTTTAAACAAATCCTGTCGATTCAAACCCGATGGTTTCGCAATCTCCAAAACAACCTCTCTGGTAGCGTCTCGACTAACTTGTTCGAAAAGGTAATATCGAGAAGGAGAGAGCTATAATCCACCAAGATACTTTGGTCGAAAGGATGATCGTTTTTCTGTCTAGAAAACTCTCGCCTTCCCTATCTCGGCAGTGTAAGCACCCCAATCGTCTAGCTATTAGCATCAATTCAAATATAATTCTCGCACCTCAGCGACCTTTTCCCGTAATTGACGGTGATCTCCTTGCCATGAAAGATGTGTCGCCGGCTAACCGGCACACAGGACATCGACACTTTTCCCTTCTCCAATACTGTTGGCTGTAGTGGACAGTGATTTCTTCCCCATCATAAATGTTTTCTTCAGCAACGATTGCGATCCTAAACTTCCCTGATACCCTCATGCCCTTGAAGCGGGCCAATGGGTCACAACTGTGATTGAACAGTCGAGAGATATTGCCGGACTCAGCACAGTTAATCTGAGCGACTGTGGGCTCGCCGAGGATATCGCCCCGGTCCACCTGTATACATTGACCGTTGTCGTACGTATTGGGAGGCGCTAATGTCCCCGTAAGGAAGGCGATAATGGTGCCCTCCGAATACGCGATTTGGCCCGCTTCCTTCGCGATGGCTTGCAGACCTCGATTTTTGCCCCCATATTTGTCGTTATAATTCCGAATGCGAGGCGGTGTCTCGTGGCGAATGGCGGTGCAATGGCAATTTCTCTCATGGCACAGGTCGCAAGGGCAGTTGCTCTGATGACACACATTGCACTGAATCCCTCCAGAAGGAGGCAGGGATGTTGGGTCAACCGGCCACGGTGAGTCGTTGGGCCAGTCTTCAGGTCTGGGCCACTCTGGATATGCACCAGGATCATATATGTTTTCGTCCTTTGCTGGGAAGTCTTCCAGAATGGAGACCAACTCTCCGTCCGAAACTTTGTCCAATGATACGCTCAGGTTTGCCCAGATGAAGTCGACATCGTCTGCCGCGGGATCCAGGGAGTGTTCAAATGCTCTCCCCGCGACGCAGAGAGCGGGCATATACTCGGTCTTCAGATGAGAAAGTAACGAGGCAAAGTCTCCTTCGTCGAGGTTGAGCCCAAGATGTGGGAGAAAAGCTAAATTTTTGCGTTTCGAAGGGGATGAAGCAAAGGATACCTGGAAACGCCATGCAGTATTCCCGCCACTTCGCCCCCTGAGTTCGATGGTACTGGCACTGGCGGCGGTTCATCCCCGTGCGCTGAAGAATTTTTGCAATGACAGCTGGGTCACTCCTTAGACGGCCTTGGTTGATCTCGTCGATATGATCGGCAAGACGGACTTGGAACAACCGAGTAAGGAAGTTATGAAAGGCAGTCTTGCGTGAAAGCATACTGAGGAATTTCACATCGTTCTCGAGCATTTGGGCCGGATCTTGGATCCGAAGTTGTCTTTTGGACGCATTTGTGGTGAGATATAATCGTATCGCTGTGGGTTCGGGGTCTCGACGACCGTGGACAATATCGAGGAACTGCTGGATTGCGTCTCTACTCCGAATAGCCGTCACCATCCGTGAGACTAGATCGTTGCGGATCTCAGTTTCAGTCATT